AAAGTTTGAAATTGTATTGCCTTTTTAAGACTCTTTGCTTTCATTGTATTATTCCATTTGCGTTTCAAAATCTATTAATAAAAATTTTCAAATTTCGTCATTGTGCTCGCACGTTACAGACGAGTAGGCTTAATATGGAATCTATTTTTTCGTCTCATGTTCATGGGATCCTTAGACTCTATTACCATTTTTCATGGCATGTCTTGTCATATCGATTTAGGCAAGTTTTACATTTTCGCAGCGTTATTAATGAAAATCAAAAAATGTGGACAGTGTTGCCATTCGTTCTGTTCTGAGAATTATGTATTGAATTGAATATAGTGATACATCGTCAATAAAAGAATATAAGGTTTTGGAATAGTGATTGATAGAAATTAAAACGTAAAATTTATTATATATTTGATTATTTACATTTATTTAAAAATATTTAAAAAAAATTGATTGAAATGTATTTTTACTTTATTTTATATGAAGGATTGAACGTGTCAAATGAATGTTTCTACAAATATCTTCATTTTAGTTAATCTTTCGTGTGAAACGCGCGCGTATTGAGGTTAAATTAGTTAAAGATTACAACGCCAATGACGAAATATCCAATACACTTCCTACGATTCTCGAACATATCGATATTTCTCACGATCAATTTTTACGCGCGAAGAATGGCGGGAGGAAGCACATCTCGTTCAAAAGAGAAAGTGTTATCCAGAAAAATCCTCTAGAAAGAAGTATTGTAACTTTGTAATTAACTAACTTATTATATATAGATACACACATACAATGTGTATGTGTGTGTGTGTGTGTTAAGTGTATGCTTTTGCACACACACTTCTATCGTGACATTTTCTACTTATTCATTCTTTAATTTTATACTGCATAATTTTTAATAATGTATGAAGAATATACGTATTTAATAGCTAAAATAATAATTTTACTGCTTAATATAATTGTTCAGTTCTCAAATAAAGTATAGCGTAGAAGGCTTTGAAGCTCGAAATTTGAAGTAAAAAACACGATCACAATGTTTGTTCGTTTTAAATCGTGCCTGTTCGGATAGGATCACCTCATCTTTTACTACTTTCTCAATTGAAGCACGAGACGTGTCGTGGAGAGCCATTCGAATAATAAAAATTATAAATATATAATATGATAAAATATATATAATATATATTTTAATTATATTTTATTATATAATATAATAAAATATATATAATATATATTTTAAATATTTAAAATATAATATAATAAAAATTTACTAGATTTCGAATTATGTCATATTCGTAATCTATCGATGGCGTCTCTTCAATGGCGTCGCTTTTTCTTTCACTTCTATTTATATTATCATTAATATTATTTAATTAATACGCGTGTGTTTATCAATTAATTAAGCATTATGGTAACGAAATTGTGTAGTGATTTGAAACCTTTCGCGTCAATTTTCTTCAATCGTCGATTTCATTTGTACGGTTACCGACGGATCATCTTGTGTGTACCCTTTTTAATAAAATTTAAAATTTAAAGTTGATTACTCATTTACCATTGTTTGTCATATTTGTTCTAATTTTCGATTTCTTTTTATGCAGATTATTTCAAATCAGAGATAGCACGACTGGGACGTCACAATTAATAATGAATAATCTGATGAACCCACATGCAAATTTGGTAACATTTTAGGTAACGTTTGGTGTACAATTTCATATATATTTGAGATACAATTCATAATATGTAATTTCATAATTATTTGGTATACAAAGATGAAAATAGAAAAGACTAATATTTTAGAGTTAATATTTTATTTAGATATAAACTAGCTTAACGGTATATGTATACTGTCAAATATTGTATATTCTTGTATTAGATTATCAAATTTAAAGTTGTTGTACTTTATTATATTTTACTATACTGTATTTCCTTTTTTCGAATGGTGACGCGCAATTGAAACGGTTTAAAGGAAAATTTCACACGTATTTTTCGTGGTACTATTTCGTAAATATATTTAGCTGTGAAGTTTTGATTTGTGCAAATATTTTCGAATATGTACAACATGCTATATATTACGTGATATATTACTAATGTGCGTACTTCCTACTTTAATAATGAACATTCAGAATATAATTTCAGAATATAATAATCGTCTTTTATTTACGGTATTTAGTATTGAGAAATATTCTATAATTTACAATTAATATCTTTAATATATATTCAAGTTTTTTTATAATCATGTTCTAGAAAAATAGCAGTATTTTCTAATTGAAAGTATCCTTCCGCTCCCCCACCAATCAGTTTTATTTTTTTTAATA